GGGGMAWKSYTYMAMYTKGWKKTWGAGGGCTTTTCCAAACTGAATGATTCTGTGATTCTATGGTTGGGGTATGTGTGCTTAAAGTTCCCTTCAAGTTGAAGAAATAAAAGATCTTGAGGAGCTACATGTGTTACATATYCTTCAGACTCTATTTTGTCACTAACTATGCAGTCTGTGCTTGAAGAAGAAAGGTGGATTTGGTGGAAGGTTTTGGATTCTTTGAGAAGAATTTGKATTTATGTACTTTGTGCACCTTCTGTCCTGCCTCTGAATTGGCTGGATTGTCTCACAGGTCATTACCTTCAGAACAATACTTATAGGCAGAGTTATGGTGCTGAACAAATGCCTTTTGTTCTTTTCATTGGCCTAGCCTTCATGTATTCAAATACAAGTATGYTTTTTCTTGGTATGGATGTGTTTTTAACAAGCCAGCATGCCAAATGCCAGGCCTGGCAGGGAAATGAGGGCAGTAATTCTGCAAAATTATTTCTGTGGTTGGAGGCAGGTTACACCTGTTTGGATTCTCCAGCACACATTGAAGGGAAGGTAAGAGATGCAGGTTGGTTCTGTCAATTCAGGCATGCTCTGCTCAAGCTCTTGAACTGGATGATCCCTGACCCCTTTATATTCCAGAAATTGTTCATGTACCTTCTCTTCTGGAAGGTATTTGGGTGGRTAAATGTTAAACATGAGAGATGCTGATGAAAATGACAGACTCAGAATACGAAAGGCAGGATCAATTTAAATGTAAAGCTGAATATATTTCCTAATTTACACAGGGCCAAAGGGGGTAAAGGATGCCTTGGTAATTTAAATACCATTAATGTCATGTTGCTGCTTTATTTTGAAGCATCTCAAGTCTCAAAAAGATTGCCTGGAGCTCTTCTTACTAAATAAGCCCTGAACAGACCCCAAATTTATAGTCAGCAAGAGCCTACCCAAACCCACAGACACTGCCTGCTCTTTGGACCTGTAATTAATGGCACAKGCTTTAAGGTACAAACATGCCACTATTCAGGTGCTGAGTA